GACAGTTCAGGAAGACGCTAGGTACGACTTGGGACGGAAAGGGGCACAGAGGAGTGAAGGAAATTATGCGAGGGATCGCTTTCGTAAAATTTTCCTCAAATCGCGGACGCGCCCTGGTCATGGTAGCTTACGTCAAGCTATAAACGTCATGTGAGCTATATAGACCGCACGACGCAATTAATTTCACGCAAAACATTGCTTGAGTCAACTAGCTAGCAAGAGCTAGTTTGAGCGCTATGCCGCGCATCGGATATCCTGGACTGCACACCTGTGGAGTTGGATGCAGGTTATCTGGGACCGCATTGTGATGAATTAAAAATCGATTTTTTTCTGGCTACTAGCCATAAGGTGAAATCTTTCCGAGTCCTCTTCTTCTGAAAAGTATCAGTTATTATCATCATTTATCATCAAGTATGTTACTATTACTATTATTATTATCATAATTGTTATTATTTTTATTTTTGTTTAATTTTTATCATTATCAATCAAAGCTATGCGTCAACAAAACGGATTCAAATCAGCAAAACTGCTGGCCTACTTTAACATGTAGTTAAACAACAGCTGAAGAAAAAGGGTTTTTTTCAAGCCCCTCGAAGACGACTGAGCATTTTGCTTCAACTTTCACTTGGACTTTTTGCTTTCACTTCTTTTAAAAAGTCGATGCTATCTCATATTTCAATAATTAGTTCATTTCAGCGCTGAGCGTCTTAACCTTTATCTTGATCGTCAAGAGGGCGAAGACGAACACGAGGAAGAGCCTGTCGATGAGGCGGTGAAGAAAAAGAGTCGATGGAAGCGGGTCAGTTATTTGAGCATCTTGCTGGGTTCTAAGTCTAGAGATAAGTAGATCGCAAAATTCATATGAAGAGATTAATTTTGAGAAGTTTTTGTCATTTTTTCGTTTGCTTAATATTTTCCTCGGTGGCGAGAGCTTCAACATGTTGGAGTTGATATTGTACTCCCCCCATATCCAGCAGCCCCCCACGAGGGGTCGTATTTGGTTGCTGGATAGGAAGAGCGAATCGTACTTGCCTTTAAGAAAAACGTTTTTGGTTACTGTTGGTCGCTGACTTTTCTATTTCTCTTGATTTTTTTTCCTGTCTGAAGAGCACCATACTGCCCTCCCCCCCCCTCGTCGGCAGTTCTGTTGAGGAGAACCGGGAAAATTCAAGGAAAACTGAAAAGCGGGAAAGATGGTAGGTAGGATGGGTTGGGGAAGGAGGGCGCGGGGTCATACCAGAAGAGGAAATCTTGAGCAGGTTCATATTTTGCGCAAATCGTCCCTTATCGGCAAGAAGTGCCCCGATATCGTCATAGTCCAGCGGGGCGTTGTCGGAAGCATCAGATGGGTCATTTGCAGCTTTTTCAAGCACTAGTTTTTTTCTACCTAAACTGGCTATTACTGCTGGAAAGCGGTGACGAGAACGGCCGCTCGGCAGCAGATTTTTGGTGGGGGGGGGGGGGGGGGGGGGGGGGGGGGAATCTAGGAAACGGTAGGAAGGGGTCGTGTTTTCCTCCATCGCTGCTTTTCCCACCTCAAGGGCTATTTACCCCCCCCCGCACCCCACTCAACTGGATCGCATGAGGAAGGAATGATCCGGTTTTTCGCACCAATCCCTCTAAAAAAGAGAGAGGGTGCGTCGTTTTGATCTGAAAGCGCCTGTGAGCTATCATCCGTTGCACGTTGAACGCCTTTCCTTGTATGCAGATTGGTTCAGATCTGGGCATGTCTTTGAATTTTTAGGCAAACGAGTCCCGTAATATGCTTGATGTGTGACGTCAATGGCAGTGATGAGAGTAGCTTCTTGTTTTGATTTTACGCGTCTAAAGTATTTAGCTGGATATAAATCTATTTGGCGAATGGGGATTCAAAGAATGCTCTTCTACTCATGGCCCCCTTCCGCGAACCCTGTAGCTCATACATAGCTTCAATTCTCCTTCTTTTCATTAGTTCACCCCTTCCTCCTCTTCGGACGTGCGGAAGGGTCAACTGAGCGCTTCATCGATGAGTTGCGCGGTTTTGATGCATGCGACGTCAAAAAATTAGTGTCGACGTCGAAACTCGTCCGGAATCGATGCGAGTTTCGGTGTGAATGATGGCTGCGTGTTCGCGGTCCCGTGGGGAGTGACGATGGCCGTCGACTCATAGACAAGTCAAAAGTGAGGCAACGGCCAGGCGACATCAGGGCCAACTTAGCCCGGTCAAAGGAGGCAAAGGTCAGGCAGACCCATACAAAATAAGAAGTCCTTCTCTCTATCCTAGCTGAAGGTTGGTTTGCACCCAAATGCTCCTACTTAGATTTCAGAAATTTTTTTGAGGACTGATACCCGCACGCTAGCACACTCAGCACAAGAGGAACCAGTAGTGACACCCTCCGGGGACGTCCAGACATCAGAGAAAAATTTTGCAGAATATGATCTCCCCAAAATTTTCATCTTTGGAGCGACATCCCTCCCCCATCCTCCATCCTGACATCATCTTTCCAAATTTCTCCAGCCTTCTATCTCTTTTCTTAAGTTTTTTCTTCTTAAAATCCTTCGGGTTTTTCCCAGAAAAAAAACTGCCGTCGTGCGCGAGAGGGTGGGGGTTATTAGCTTACATGAAAAGGGAAAACCAAGAAACTCAACCGGAAACCAAAAGCGTTTTACACCAGAGCCCGTCTCCCCTGCGGCGATCTAGGCCTCCCCCCCCCCAGTGCACAAAAAGCCTTGGACATCCTAGAAACCCTAAAATCCTCGAAGTTATCGGAGTTTCCCAAAGACACTAGTTTCATAACAGACGGACTTCAGTAGTTACAGGCGCACCCATCGAGTTATTCTCGTTTCGACAGCGCTTCACATCCCTCCGGTTGACATCACCACGATAGCGGAATAGTAGAAAAATTCAGTTTCATCAAGAATTAGGAAGTCCACCATTCATGGATTCGGGGAGACCGTTACAGCTGAAATGTGTTTGTCGAGAGAATTGATGAAAGCACGTCGAACGGTGCTCAATGCTGCCACAGGAGGCCATCTCATGAGGGCGCTCGACCCCATATCACAGTAGCTTCTCTGAAGGAAGAGAACTAGCTAGGCTCCCCTGCACCCACTATCTTTACCAGACCTAGCGTCCGCCGGCATTCACTTCTCTAAACGTCTCCGTAGCTCCAAAAGCCAGCAAAGGCTACTGAAGTTTTATCCGAGCCGCAAATATGAGCATTTGAAATTTGAGGTCGAAAACCGCAACAACTTTCTTCACGACCAAATATTTCCTTCTTCGATGCGACTCCCATGCTCATACGCGGGGGAGGGAGAAGGTGAGCAGCAGCAAATCAACTAATCAGAAATCGGCCAAGAATTGCCCCTTCCTCTTCACTTCAGGGTCGAGTTTACCCCATAAGAGAGGTGTTCAAGCTCCCGCTCGCTCCTTGGGGCATAAACGCCGACAGCCTGAGTGAGGTGGGGAACATACCTGGGATTGCTTGCATCGGTAGTTTCTTTTCTGGCAGCCAGTGGCACGATGTATCCCAAGTACGCATAGGATCTGTACGCCTAACATGACAGTCGCGCCCTTTGAGTAAGTTCTGCGTCCTCCAAGGAAGGTACCCCTTATCACGCCCTATCAGGCTGCGCGACATACCGACCCGGACGCTAACTGCGCCCGCCCTCCCACAATTGTCCTACCGATGGTGGTGCTCGAATCGCTTCATTTGCACAGTATGAAGCAAAGGGATTCATGTGAAGGGGCTACGGTGCCGCATGGATATATGAGTACATACATGCAGCCTATCATAGCGTTCATTGGCACGATGCCAACGGGAAACTGGTCCCGAAATCGATTTCTGAAGTCGTGTGCAAAAGAAAAGTTTTTTGCAAGTTTTTTCGATCGTTTTGCTTCGCTTGTTCGCCATTTTCTCTCTATACAGCACCCATGCTACCACTTGACCATCCTAGTACCAAACTATCATGTGATTTAAAATTTTTTATTTACTTAGTTTGTACTTTTATAATGATTGAAACATCGATGTCCAAAACTGTGGTATGATTTACTTATATTAAAATTTTTTAGAATTGAACTTTGTTTTATTTTTTATTTTTATTTTTATTGATTTCAAGGAAGTAGTCTAGTTTCGCGTTTCGCACGTGCCCTAGAGGGGAACTAGACCCAACCACTGGTAGAAATCCTCCTCCGTGGCAGACGCGAACTTTCGTACATTTTCCCAATTATCATACCTTACGGCTTTAAGAAAACCCATATTTTTGAGAGATTTGCAATTTTGAAATAAATACTCTCTGCTCTCTGAGTGAATAAAGTTTCTGTTGCCCACCTGTTGCCCATCTATTTGAAGCCTAGCTTACTGGTAGAGTTGTCGGGAAATCCGTGAGTGTAATGTGCCATATTTAACTCACATTCATCTAGATATTCGATATTTATCGAGAAGACTCGCGCAAAAAGATCTTTTTTTTCGTGTGGTCCCTCGGGTACTATTTCGAGCACTTTTGAGTTAGCATCAACAAAACGTTCAATAGCGTAATGTGGATAGATAATCCAGCTGGGGAATCGGAATAAAAGTACGTGATCGCAAAAGCTCTCAGAGAAGCAAGAAAAAATTCGTGAGCAGAACAGCGACTTTCGTACATTTCCCAAATGCTCAGGAATATGGCACGATTGCTTGAAATACTGCACGCACCATCGCATACATTCCAACCATGCATTGCAAGCTGCGGTAATTTTGGAGGAGCACATTGTTATGCCATTTCATCTTCGCGTAGGGGGGGGGGCGCATCATGTCCTGGCTCCCGATAGCTCATAGCCGATGGCATCCTGCCTTAACCGCTGTAAACTGCCAGTGAACTCGCTGTGAAAGCTATGCAGAAGCACATTTCACACTTAGCAAGAGTATGCAGGTCTGACCAAAGGTCAAAACCAGACCACACGGGGACAGGATCTTATAAAAATGAAGCCTAGCAAAGAAGTGCAAATGCCCCTTCCAAGCTCGAATCCTTAGTATACTTTGCCAATGTTCCCAATGGATTCATGTAACGTGGATAAGGCACGACTGGCCTCTCATAGTGGCTTTTCCACATCCTGCGAAATTCAGAAACTTTTTTTGCACCCCAGCGATTTATGAATGTGCTCAGTAGTTCTCGCGATATTGCTGAGTTAAGGCAAACTCAAGCCAGGTCTCAAACCTGCTCCCGTTCAGAGCGGGTGCCCTATCCGTTACGCATCCGAGGCCCTCTCTTACCCTCTCAGCTCACAGCCCTCCTTGGATCGAAACTTTCGCCCATACCTTAATGTTATTGTGGTAACTTTCAGGGCGCGTAAAGAAACCACGGTTACTCTAGGGAACTAATTCTCGGCATTTGTTCTGCTGGTCAGATTGTACTTATTACTAATATTATACTTTTTATTATAATGCATTGGACATTTGGCGTTTACAAGCGAGTTGATTGATTAAACTGTAGGGTCAACTCGGCTTAGTGGGGGTACTAAATGTTGCTTAGCGAAGCTGGTTCAGACCACTTGTGAAGACCTGTTGAACTTTTGTAACCCCTAAGCACAACTGGGCCAAGCTGCGTGCACGGCATACCTGTCCTACAGATATTCGGAGAAAAACTCGCTTTTCTAATCAAATAATTTTTTCACGTCGACAATATTTTGATTTTCTGCGAAACGTTCTGTGAAAAGAAGCTGATTCCTTTCAGAATTTACGCATCGTCCTACCTCACGTCGGCCTGGTCATCCTCTCAACCGCCTACACGCTTCTCGGGGCTGCGATATTTCATCACGTGAGTCTTTTTGAAAAATGGTTTGCTTAAAGGTAGAGGCAGTACTAGTATCCATAACCACTGCCACTTTCTGAGCAAACGGCCCTCCACGTTATCAGTTAATTTTTAACTTCTCCCAAAAGCTGAACACTTGCCACATACATGGCGCAATCAAGGGGGATGTTCAATACATCCTTTAAAGTGGTCAGTGGGAGCGAGACGATGTAGCGTTAGGTGGCGCCGTTTACAGTATTGATCCTTGCAAACGCGAGGGCGTGTGACGGTGGATTGGAGCGCAGCCAGGGCAGCCTTTCCACCAATCGTGCCATCCTGAGCCCACGGCAGTTGGTGGGAAAGGCGGCTCTGGCGCGCTCCATTCAACCCCCTTCACTCGCCCCATCCTTTGCAGAGATATGGCTGTGAACGCGCGCTATTCGAGGGCAAAACCTTGGACTGAATGTCGCCTGAGCCAAACAGGCGACAGACGACGCGTAAGCCCGATGTAGAAATTCCAGACAGAACCCCAGACATTCCCAAACGAGGTGTATTAGTGAACCTTTTCTGTTGAAGGTCGTTTCCCTATGAGAAAAAACCCCTGGTTACTAAGCGAAACTATTTCTTCGCATTGAAAAGCACGAAAGTACTTTGGAGCCTTTGAGACACTGCCAAAATTTTCATCCAACATTGAACTTCATGTCCCTCTTTACTGAGGAATCTTTTTTTAATGCGTTTTTGCAGTATGAAAAGCCTTACGAGGAGCAACTGCGGAACGATTCCGCACACCGCGTGCATTTGTTGAAACAACGAATCATCGACGAGTTGTGGGAGATGAACAACAATGGCACGCCGTACACCATCTGGGCGGAGCGCGCACAAATCGCGTAAGTTCACCTTGATGCGTAGTCGATAACCATAAATTATCCATTGTTGATGAAACATAACTAACCAAAGTTCTTGAATGTACTTCCTGTCTTGTTCGCTAAACAATTTTTTTAGGTTCTCAGACTTCAGCTTGTGACCTTCCTGGCCCCAAACCCTAACCTACAAAACTATGGGCTGTTCGGCTTGGGGGGGGGGTTGTTCCTATCATCCTTTTCCCCACTCCATTTGAACTACCAGGTCATACTTTGATGAAACTTGCCAGCCATTGCGAAGCTAAGAAGTGGACCAAGTATGCCAATCAACAGGAATTAGCAGACCTTCACAAGGCGATCTGTGCAAGCTTCGCTGGAAGCCATTTGCTGACCCAAGGCGAACTGTGCCCGAATTAATCTCACTCTACCAACACTTTCAGCACAATTCCGTTGCGCTGGCTTTTCCTTCGGTTACCACAAT